AATATTATTTTATTTTTTTAGACTGTGACCTTATTATTAAAGATTTAAACTTATAAGTATTAGTGGCAAAAAATGTGAATTTAAGATTGTAAAAAGATTAATGAACAACTATTATAAACTTGGGGAGAAAATCTACTCATTGTTTATTAAAAAAAAAACTTGGATAAGCCCATTTTTTCATTCAATTAGAAGGTAGGGAAAACGACCCTAACTAGACTTTGACCTTGACAGTTTTATGCATATTTATGGACCAGGTATTTGAAAAAAGATTGAGAAACATAATGGATTCTCGCCCCAGGAGCCCCTAATATTTGTAATTGGGAGGATTATTCGAACTTGACATCAAGTTATGAGGTGAATCTCCAATCACCTACGCCAAGTCTTTCTTAGTAATACACAAAAAAATCGGTTTGTACAAATCATTTCAAATAACGTAATAATAAAATTTTGTTCCCAATTACACGAGAACTAGTTACATGTAACATGCTTTATTTTGTGTTGGACTAATGGCCTTTCAAAGTTTACAAATTCTAAAGAGAAAAGAGAAATGATTCAAATGAACAAGTAGCTGGTCCAGTATACGATGATTGTGAAACGACCTTAGCTACAATAGTTATTATGTGCACCATGGTGCACCTAGAAATAGGTGCACCACACCTATACTTTTGAATATTTAGTAAAAAAAAAATTTGAACACTTTACAAAAAATGAACTTATGAACATTTAGTAAAAAAAATATGAACACGTCACAAAAACTAAACATAAAACATGCAATTTTATATGTTCATATTTTATAAGGAAATGTTCATTTTATATGCAATAAATGTTTAGTTTATATTACAAAACTATTAAATTATTAAGAGTCTAGACAAACTTCTTTCAAAAAATTGATGTTTATTATATAGTTTTGCATTTAATATATAATATATTACATGTTCAAACTTTGCAATTATTTAGATTTTTTTTACTAAATGTTCAAAATTTGTGATTGTTCAGATTTTTTTTACTAAATGTTTAAAAGTATAGGCGTGATGCATTGCGATTGTTCAGATTTTTTTACTACATCTTCAAAATTTGCAATGTTCAGATTTTTTTATTAAATGTTCAAAATTTGTGATTGTTCCGATTTTTTTACTAAATGTTTAAAAATATAGGTGTGGTGCATTGCGATGCGATTGTTAAGATAATTTTACAAAATATTCAAAATTTGCGATATTCAGATTTTTTTGCTAAATGTTCAAAATTTGCGATGTTTAGATTTTTTTTCCTAAATATTTAAAATTTGCAATTGTTCAGATTTTTTTACAAAATGTTCAAAAATATTGACATAGTGTACCTAGTTCTAGTAGGTGCACCTTAAAATTTGCGCCTTAGCTACGGTTGAACTACAACCTTGCTTAATCTGAAAGCCCAAAATAATCTAAATAGAATTGGTGCTAGAAGCCCAAACAATGATCTAAATAGAAGCCCAAACTATAGTACGTCTTTTCTTATAATTGGCCACACTAGACAACAGAAAAGTAAGGCCGCTGCAACGGGTCTCTTTCTCTTGGGCCTTAACCAGGAAATTCATACTTATTTTCTTATTTTTTAAATCGATTACCAAATGCGTTTTTTTTTTTTTTTGAAGATGTCAAATTTGTACCAGTGCTATCTTAATTGAATTTTTTTTTAATTTTTTCCGTTTTAAATTGGTTAACACGTTTTTGTTTTTGATATGCAATTTATAAATTTTAATTTGGGAAAATTTGTCAATTACTACCTCATAATAGTGAGCTTTGCAAATTATCACTCTAAAAAAAAATTGATAATTACTACACAAAATCATTATAAGTGCTACAATTGCTACCTTCCACCGGATTCCAGTGATTTAATGGCTTAACTGACGTCATTAACCATTTAATAACCCAATCTAAATTTATATACTAAAGCAATCCCCATAGTTGTCCCCTAAGTACATGTGTCATTACCTCATAAAAAACTTTCCTGCCAAAAAAATTTCTTTTTTTTTTTTTTTTTGGGGGTTATTGAAAGAAGTTTGTTACTATATTTTAGGGAGAAGTTTTGGCCTTATATTTAGGGAGTTATGTCCAACAAAAATAATTTAAATAAAATTAAAAAAATATAGTGGTAAAGAATAATAAATGTTACGTAAAATTATAAATACTATTTATAGTATCAAAAAGTATAATTATTATTTTTTATTTTTGTTATTTTTTTTATCAACATGAATAATGAGTACATTTTAATTAAGAAAAGAGTATGATTTCTTATTACGAACACTAAAATGTTATTAATCCTTTTATCTCACATTAATTGTACTGTAATTTAGACATTGAGATTAATCTTATGGTATATCACAATGTTTATTTTACTTTTTTCCGTAATTTTTTTAATTCTAATAAACAAATAGTAAAATATTATTGTAAAACCGTGCATAGAACGGGTTTTGAACTAGTTATTCCTAATTAATTCTCATTTAATTAGAATGATTTAATCTAATCTTGTAGGAGCTTAGGAATGTTTCTCGTCGAAAGATAGCGTTTTTCTTATTCTTCACGGTAAGAGGAATTTTCTCTTTTAGAAGACTAGGTTTTTCTTCTTTCTTTTGAGGGAGGGTTTGCTTTTTTGCTTGATGGATTGTTGTAAAGTTGTTTCATGGGTAAAGATTTGTGCAGGATCGAAAAAAAGGTTAATCCTTTGATTATAATTGGATGAATCAGACCAAAATTTTCTTCACGGCAACAACAGATCGATAAACTCTTTCATCGAAGTAGACTATAAATAACATCGATATGAAATAGAATGCGCAATTTGCCACAACCATCGTAGTTTTTTTGTATGGATGTTTTTATTTGATTCAATTGTCATGTATTTATTATATATAAATTTCTTTTCTCAAAAAAAAAAAAATTATATATAAATTTCTTTGTAGTTGTCGTTGCTCTAAATTACTCAATGAAACTACTCCATAAATGATTGTCATGTATTCAAAAATAAATAAAAAGTTACTCTAAGAAACTAGTGTGTAAATGATTGATTGTCAAATGTCATTACTCCAAGAAATTAATTTGAGCACCTGATAGGCTGACACTCTCAAACTATGCTAATTAAGCTAAATAAACCGTGATATATCATCATAATCGGATAATCCATATCATGTTCGAACTTGTTGAAGATGTGTGTGAAGCGAGAACAATTCCTTTCTTTCACTCACACGATATACAAATTGAGTTAGTGTGGTATGAAAAAGACAGCAAAATATCTCCAAAACACTACGTATATGATTAAATTTGAATTTATTTCTTGTGTAGTAAGGAAAATGGTAGGGTTCAAATGTTAATAACTCTTGGCAAATAATTATGCAAAGCTCAATTTGTTAAACAAGCCAATAGTCTTCGACGCTAGTAAGATCGTACCCTGGTCCACGCGATGTAACAAGTGCTTTAAGAATATTATCTTAATCGTGTACCATAATACACCACCAAAGAGAAATATAGCATCTCAATTATGGACTTTATAGATACTAATTATAATATTTTAATCGTTCACATTTCTGTACTGATTGGTTATGCATAAAATAAAATCCATTTCCAAATACATGCACAAGTAATTCATGCATTCCTCCCGATCTTGAAATTCTACTACTCCGTAATTTATTGTTCATGTTATGGAATGATTATGTACAAGATAGTGAGATACTGCATAGTTTTTTAGGAAGTTAATATTTATTTTCCTAATTCTAGGCTTAAGGAAGTTTGGACATTATTTTCCTAATTCTAGGTTTTTTTTATTCTACCTATCAAACTTGAAATCCTCAATCATTCTTTCTATAATAGGGATTACAAAGATTACATATGTTTTTTTTTTTCTTTTTTTTTGTGTGTGTGTATGTGTTAGAGAGTCACGAGGGCAAGTGATGAGAATCGATCCCAAGATCTCTTGGAACTGAGAGGGGAGCTCTAACCACTTGAGCTAATCCTCACTCTCATTGTTACTTTTATTTTTAACCTTTAACATATCAAATTTGATTTGATTTTTTTATTTTGTAATTATTACATCATATTCCTAGATTATACATATGTTTGTAATCAAAGATTCCCTAGTTTGAATTCAAATTTGATTTTTGCTCCTTATTGATATCTTATAATTTATTATTAATTTGTTTGAATTAGTAAATGCATAATGGTGTAATTTTGAACTTATAAGCTAATGACTATTTTCAATTACGCCTAGGGGTGAGCAAATCGGATATCCGGTCAAAATTTTAGAATCCGGACCCGGAATTGGTTGGGACCGGGTCCTAAAATTCGGAACTGGAATTGGAAACGCTACAACCGGGTCTTAAAATTGAGAAATTGGAATTGGTTCCACCGAGTACTGGTTCCGATTCCGGGTACCCACTTATATACATGCTTGCTAATATAAAATACAAATTATAATATTTTTTTGATTTATTTTTATTTTTAGCATTTAATACTTATATTTTTATATGCATTAAGCTATTTTATTTATGTTAGATATTAATATTATTTATTTTTATTTTACTAATTAGATACATTCAACATATTTTTGTTTTTTTAAAATATATTTAGTTCATTATATGTTGGGTAACCGGGTACCCAACCGGGTTCCAAAAAATTGAGAACTGAAATTGGAATCGGTTGCAACCGGGTCCTTAATTTATTACTCGGAATTAGAACCACCGGGTCCAATTTTGATTCCGAACCCGCCAGTTTCTAACCGGTTCCAGTTTCTAACCGGTTCTAGTTTCAATTCCAGGTACCGGAATTTTTGCTCACCCCTAATTACGCCTTTAATTAGCTTACATATCAATCAGAATTTTAATGTTTACCTCTAATCATGTTTGCATATCGTCTAGATTGGAAATTATTGATTGAATATTCGTTAAATATTTAGCTTCTAACTTGACAACCGTATATTTATTAAACATTTAAACCTAACAATTCAAATATTTATTGTAATAAATTAATAATTGATGAGAGACTACTAATTAAAAATGTGTCGTGAACATAATGTCTAAGGCGGCCTTCTCTTAATTTTGCCAAAAAATAGTAAAGTGCTTCCTAATTCTAAAAAAATGGAGGTAAATAGATTAATTTAAATTTTTTTAAAAAAAAAAAAATAAAAAATAGAAACGGCTATTTTTACTGTCGTTGTCTTCATATCATTACGAGAACCACAAAGCTCTTTTTCGGGAAAAGCGCTAACCCACACAACCACACTTCACTCGATCAATAACCCCAATAATAAAAATAAATAAATTATAATCCCTTTTTAATTAATTTATTAACCGAAATTATTAAAGCAAAGACTATGATTAAATACCATAATTTAATATTCTCAACAAAAATATAGACTTATTAAACTCCCACTTTATTATTAAAATCCTATTTTAAAAAACAATAATTCAACACGTAGACCGCGTCTATTTATTTAGACCACTAAAAAAATTCCACCTCAAAAAAAAAAAGCCGTTATATAAATAACCTAAAAATAACCATAAGCTTAATAGACTCTTCCCCCTATTTTCTCTCTCCTCCTAACACTGTTTTTCTGATTAACAATGGGTCGTCCTCAAAAAATGAAAAACTTAGTCGGAATTCTCAAAGACAAAGTCTCTCTTATCAAAGCCACCCTTTTATTGTCCTCTAAACCAACCACTTCTTTCCATATTGCGGTGCTACGCGCCACCACGCACCGCCACCCTTCGGACCCGCCCCCGCTCGACGCGGTTTTATCTTTAGTTAACCATTACCGCCCTTCTACCTCCGGGGTCTTAATCCACGCGCTACTGCAACGTCTTCATGGGACCACCAGTGTCTACGTGGCACTCAAGTGTTTGCTGACGCTGCACCACGTCATCATTCATGGTTCCCCTGCTTTGAAGGAGGAGATCTTGGGTTATTCGAGTGGACCGTTGTTGAATTTGTCGGGTTTTAAGGATGATTCGGGGGGTGACACGTGGGATTTGTCGGAGTGGGTGAGGTGGTATGGTGACGTCATTGATCACGGTGTCGGGTTGTCGCGGCGGAAGAACAGGGGAGGAGGGGGAGAGAGATTAGGGTTGTTGATTAGTATGGTTGAGGTGATTTGTGGGGCCCCAGAAAGTCTCCATTATCAAAGAATAAGTTTGATATACGAAGTAATTAAGCTTGTTGGAGAAGATTATCGGATGATTATGAGAGAGATTAATGCTGTAATCAATCAATTTGGGAAGAAAAGAATTCAAGATTTGAGCAATGATTTAATTGGGGAATTATTGAATGATTTAAAAAGGCTCGAAAATTGCCGGGAAAAATTGGTTTTGATGTTCTTGAATAAGAAGAATGATGGGGTTTGGGAATTGATTGAAGAAGTGAGGAAAGATGTTGAGGAGGTTAAGGAGAGGAGGGAGAATATGAAATTGGTGATGTTTGATGGGAGTGAGTCGACTCGGGTGGCGGAGAACCGAGTTGGTGAGTCAAGATCGGTTTCGGTCGTGCCGCGGCGGCGGAGTAAACGGTGGTTGGATGTTGAATGGAATACAATGGTTGCTTCTTATGGTTGAGTTTTGCTCTTTCAAAAAAAAAAAAAAAAATGGTTGAGTTTTGCTTAGTATTGTCAAGGTTGGTTTCTCAAGTGTGAATTTGGAGATTGGTAGTTTTAGGTCAATTTTTGGAATATAATATTTGTACATTCTTATACTACTAGTATTATTTTTTGATGGACAAAAAATCAGAAACATTCCTTTAGTTTTTTAATTACTTAGCAAATAAGGAAAATAATTAGGAATAAGTCAATAATGAAAGAAGAAACTGTTGTTCAGGTCAGTGTCTTTTTGTGATTATTTCCTGATATGTGTGAATGAATATAATGTGTGTTCTAAATTTCTACGGAATAATAAACTTGTGTTATCTTTGATTTTCTTCCTACTGAGTTGGTGTGAATATGGATACTGTCATATTGGTACTGATGTCATTTGAATGACATGGAAATGGGCAAATAATCCTAACTTAATGAGCTTGAAATCTAGAAGCTCGCAATCCAAGCATGTTAATTTTGATATTTTCCTAAGCTAGGAAATTTTATTTTTGTGAGCCTGTTTGACAAAATTAGTTGTCTTATTGGCGATGATTTGATGTCATTTTTATGACAAAAATTGGGATAAATGATCCTAATTTGGTGTTTAATGAGTTGAGTTTGAGATCTAGAAGATCTGGTTTAGTTCAACTTATTTTTACTTATTTCAAAAAAAATTAATTAAGGTCAGATCTGATCAGAAAAAATAAGTTTAGATCAGATCATAAAGAATAAGTTCAGATCAGATTGTCATTTTATGTGCAGTTTTTATCGCTATATATTTTTAATTTTGCAATAAAAAAAATTATGAAAATTACATATTAATAAAATACACATTATTACGAATCTAACAAGTTCGCAATTGATATATTTTTTCCTTATAAATTATCGTACAGTTAAGGTTAAAGTTTGGTCAAATTAGATAATCAGATCATATCAGATCATACCAAATCAAATAAGTTCAGATAAACAAAAATAAGGTGAACTAAACAAGCCCTAAGCATATTAATTTTATAGCTTTCTTATCCAGGATATCTTATTTCAATACCTAGTGTGCAGATTTTATACCTAGTGTGCAGATTTTAGATCTCAATCTCATTAAAAGAACAATATAGAGAAAGTAATAAGATGGGCAAGATATAAAAAATTACACAAATTCTTACATGTGGCCACACCGTGTGGCCAACCATTATAGGGGTTACTTCGTTAGTGTAAAAGGGGTTACTTGGTCAGTGTTAGGGGGGTTACTCGGTCGGTGTCACAGGGATTACTCGATTAGTATTACACTAATCAGTGTTATAGTATAAGGGGTTACTTTATTCTTTTATAAGTGATCACACGCCACACACAAGACGAGTTGAAAAAATTAAAAGATATATAATAATTACACAAGAACGATCTAGGACTTTAATAGGGGAAAATTTTGATTTAATGTCGTGTTTTAAAAAGTTTTATTTAAATAGACCTTCCAATAATACAAGATTGAGGTAAATCAAATTTAATACCATACTCATAAGAAGTATTAATAATAGGAAGATCAGAATAATGTTAGGAAATCATAATTAGAAGAAGCATCTACAATTACACAGCAGGAATAATCTAGGAGATACTTTCGTATAGTTTTAGTAATGAGATAGACATTTAGACCACACCAAACTTGAAAAATCCATATTAGAATAATTTTTAGCAAAAATACAATCATATACGAGTATCCAATTTGAGTATACAAGCAACTAAAGGCAAAGTACAGTCAAACTAGACAATAATTTTATTTTATTTTTTACAGGAACAAAAATAATATCATTATTGAATAGTCATACGACATCTAAAATGTTAAGTAAATTACAAATTTTAAAGAAAATAACATTAATTTTATAACAAAATCATAACTATTTTGCATATTTGGCATATCTCACACTCCACTATTTCAAACTTGACGCGAATAGTGATTTTCGATGTGTTCGCATCTTTCCAAGTAAAGACCTTCGCAATTTGGTTGATATTTTGATCGATGAGTTGATTTCAAACCCTATACAATCCGGTTAGATGCAAGTGTGAGTATTGTTTGTCCCACTTCGAAAAAGAAAGCAATGCAAAGGGCTTTCAGTTAACCTAAGTGGACTGCTCCTTCTACAATTGGTTTTAGGATGAAACCTCGATGTGGGCTCTACTTTGTGGGCTTCTAGGCTTCTCTCCTTTGTGTTCTCTCTCATTTGTTATAACAAACTGGTATCATAACTAAGTTTGATATGATCGCACCATCTTTGTTAGGTGACTTAGGTCTTATGCTATGGCGTTAAAGATCGTCTGTGAGTGTTGCCTTTTGGGCTCTGTAGGTTCTAAAAGTCCCAAAAAATTGAGACATAATTAGACCATACCAAATTAAACTTGAAAATTCCATATTAGACCATATCAAACTTGTGTAAAAATTCATACCATAACATATTAAATTAGGTGAACGAAATGAGTCCCGCACTATCCCTGTTTAAAAAGAAATAATAAATAAATAAAAAAAGTTGAACGAAATGATTTGCAGGAGAGATATGAGCATTACGAAAATTATGATTATCCCCAATTAACGGTGTTTTATTTTCTAACAACTTGGTTGTAACAAACAATATAATTTATAGTTAATCTATCTCGATTCTTGCATTTTTACTTTAAAAATAAGTCAATGAAGATCGATGAGGTTTCAATAATGTTGAAACCATCCTTCCTTCTTGCCTTCCCTGGCCTTTTGATTCTTCTGACTTTTGTGTAATGTTGAAAACGAGAGATAATCTACAATTCTTACACATGAGGGCTATTAAAGAAAAATCCAAGTGAATAATTATGTGGAGACTCAAGTTAATTAATACCGAGTAACCACTACTACTTGCTTATATAAAAACAACAAAGTCATTCGTTCTGGGGTTCATATCTTGGTCGAAGCACTAATTTCATTAATAATCCAACTAGTACCGTACCTTATTAATCACTCCATAACACATTCGAGTTATTTTTAGGGTTCATATTTTGATTGAAGCACTCCAACTAATATTTATATTAACACAGTCACACAGATACGCATTATATTTTACAAGCATTTTTTATCATCCTTAGCCTTTCGATATTTAGTGAGACTAATTTACTCCCTCCGTCCCATAATACTTGACACAGTTACCATTTTCGTCCGTCTCAAAATACTTGACACGTTACTAAATATGGAATGAGACCACTAATAAAAAAAAAATTCCTATACTTTCTTTGGGACCACAAACCCCAAAACTCAATTAAATCCTACATTTTCTCTCTCCTCACTACCCCCACCTCCCCCACTTTTTGTTTTCTTACAATATAAAAATACAAAAGAGAATCCTTTATATAATAAACAAATGTTTTAAATGGACCCACTTGTATTTTTCTTAAAATACGTGTCAACCCCAACGTTTCAAGTATTATAGGACGGAGGGAGTAACAAAACTCACACCTAAATTTTTGTGCTTGAGGTGTGGTAGTCTTTTTTTTTTTTTTTTTTTCCGTAAAGCTAAGTAAGCGATATTATATTAAATCGATCTCCGCCAAAGTGTGTAAGCTTTGGGGAAAATAGTTCGTACACATAAACTCCGAATTTGAACTCACAACCCATCTAGCAACTAAATGAGCTAAGGAGTTACCATTTTGTCTCACATGCTTACATTGGAAAAACGTAAAGAAATTGTTAATAGTAGAGATATCCTCATAGAATAGAAAAACAGGTGCACACCCTTTCTGCTTTGCTTGAACAGCTCAAGTCACTTGCAGCGCATCACACTCAAGAATCACCTCTTCAAAACCCAACCTTCGCCCCAGCTCCACCCCATAACGAGCAGCTCCTGCCTCTGCTATCACAGGAGGCCATCAGACTTCAAGGAGCTTCACAACAGCCGCCAGTAATTGTCCCCCATATCCTCTGATAACCACACCAAATTTAACCCCACCATCTCGCACAAAGTGGGAATTAACGTTGATCGTCACCCCTGCCATCAGTCGAAGGACACCACGAGCCACTAGACGCTGGAACAACCCCCCCACTTAGCTTGCACACCTTCGCATTGTATACACAGTAATCATGGAATAGCTTCACAAACCCAGCTCCTACACGCACTGCATCCACGTTATGGTCACCCTTGAAAATATGCTTATTCTTATAATGCCATATTGCCCAAGCTAGAGAAGCGAAGACATTATACCGTTCTTTGTTCACCTTTTTTTGCCATCCAAAGTAGCCTCGCATCAAAGGAGCTTGTAGGAGCAGCAACTAGCAGATCCTCAAAATCGCTTTGCTCCCACACCGCAACCGCATGAGTTCAATCAAAGAGCGTATGCATAATTGACTCCTCACTACTACCACAAACAGGACAGTGCTGTGAATCCCTTATATGACGCCTGTACAGCACCCCCATCACAGCCAAAGAACCCTTACACGCACTTTATAAAAAATGGTTTAGCTTAGGTGGACCTCCCACACTCCAAATCAGTTACCATAGCGAGTTGGAGCTTTCACCATGGTATAAATCCCAAGCTCGCAAGTGCCGAAGCCTACCCAGCCAATACCCACTCTTCACAGAATATACCCCATCTCTCGAAGGCCACCAATAGCGAATCTTTTTGATCGGATCACGAAAGAGGGAGATCAAGAATTGCAATTCTATCGGCCACAAAACAATTCGAGGCTATCACAGCTTCATTCCAGCAATGCGAATTATTATCAATTAAATCACATACCTTAAGTTCCATATTGCTACTCCCAATAGGCGTAGGAACAAAGTGTGAACCATCCCTAGGAAGCCACGATTCATCCCACACCTTGATGCTCGTACCATCCCCAATATGCTATTTCAAGCCATCCAGCAATAAACTCTTCGCACCCCACATACTACGCCAGTTATAACTTGGGTCATACCCTCTTTGAGCCTCGAGGAAGTCTGAATGCTTGAAGGATCGAGCTTTCAAAACACAATGCAGCAGTGAGGTATTGTCATTTAATAGTCTCCAACCTTCCTTGCTAATAACGCTTGGTTAAAGACTCATAAGTCGCGAAAGCCCAAGCCCCCTTTTAATTTCGGAAGACAAAGGTCCTCCCACTTGTGCCTGTTGGAAGATTTAGAGTGTTGATGGTTACGCGCTCGCGAACCATGAGTAGCGCCCGCGCTGGGTAAGCGCGGCCGCGCCTAAAACGCGCACCTCACTAGAATCTGAAGGTTTGGAAGGAGAAAGTTGGCGCGCCCGCGCGTCATTTGGCGCGCCCGCGCATCCAAGTGGCGCGCCTGCGCTTGGGTCGCGCCTAAACCGTGACCCTCTCTGACTTTCTGTATGAAAATTCGCA